TACTTATCAATCTTAAGCCATGTTCTACTGCCTGCAAAGTGATGCTGAAAGTGGAGATAGTACAGCTGGAGGAATGCTCAATGAAATGGCTACTTTTGATTTTTTGGCCATATTGCATCTTATGGCAGATGTATTGTATTATCTTGGGCAGTTGAGTTGTGTTTTTCAGAAAACTTACCTAGATTTATCATCTGTTGATGGGCATATCAAAGCTGTTGTCAATGTACTTAAAAATGTGAAGGATGACCCAGGGCGCAGACTGAAATCATTTCTTAGTTCAGTCCCAGAAACTCCCAGTGAATTATACATGAAAGTAGCAGCTGCCAATCTTACAGATGATATTAGTTTGTTACAAGTAAATCTTCAAGTGATGAAGCCATGATTACCATCAAAGATAATTCCAACTTAAGAAAGTGGTTTGTTTCTTGCAAATCAGAATTTTTAGACAAGCTTGTTGACAATTTAGAAACAAGATTTCCTGAATCTAATTTTGTCAAGGCTTTTCATATATTTATCCCATCTCATTTACCTAAAGCAACATCTCCAGAATATGGTTTTGATGAAATTGAAACTTTGTGTAGTTTTTATGGGACACCCAAAACCACAAATGATGGTATGTTATTGATTCTGATAAGCTAAAAGATGAGTGGCCAGTGGTGAAGGAAATCTTGAGAAATAATTATATGCAATGTAATATTCAAGATACTTGGGGATCTTTACTGGGACCACAAGCTTGCTTACCTACTCATTATCCAAATATTGCTAAATTGGTCACAATTTCTCTTATAATACCTGTTAATACTGCAGACTGTGAGCGTGGCTTTTCTAGATACAATTTAATCAAAACCAAGGGGAGAGCTAGATTAAAAGTTTCTTCAGTGAGTGCTTTGATGTCTATTGCCTTGGGCACACCACCTCTGAAAGAAATGCTGTCCTTCAATTTTAGGAGGGCATTTCAAATATGGTGTTCTATGAAACAAAGAAGAATAATAGACACTTCTTAGTCTATTCAGCCAGCAAGTATTGTGAAAAACATAAATGATTGCATGCTAAAACTGATTGACAGTGTTAAACAGCTGACAAAATTAGACCGAGAAATTGACTGTTTTGTTGATTCTGATGACTGTATAGATGAATAGAAGGTCAAACATGTTTGGTAAATAATACCAGATTATTGTATGTCAAAGATTTATTAATAAATCTGATTATCTGCAGGAATATATTGTCATTGTGAATGGTTTGGTTGTGTGACAATTTCAGTAAGAAATTTGTTGGAACCCAATTCTGACTTTTCAGAATTTGTTTACACTTTTCAGAAACTTTTTTGTACCACATTCTGACTTTTCAGAATTTTTTTCATAGACCCAGAGGAAACACAGGGAAAATGTTTCACATCGAATATTGATTTTGTAATATAATCCCATCTTTGATTGTCAAACAATGAACCTTTGTGCAATTAAATGTCTTGATGACACCCTAAGATACTGAAATTTCAATCACAACCTAATCCACAGAAATGCTCAGTGATGTTCGGCTATTGGCGAAAAATTCCTGATGCAGATATCTTGCGGAAAATGTAGCTGTTTTTATTATAGTACACCTAATACTTATGTCCAACATATTGCTGACAATACTACTTTGATAGCATGACCAGCTTTGTAATATCAATTCAAAATAAAGTATTAAAAGTTTCATATTCCATGCACTTCTTGAGATTGTACTACATAGTGAATATCTCTCTGTTTACAGGTTCAAGTTCCCATAGTATTTCGAGGTCCAAATGGAGCGGCTGCTGGTGTTGCAGCACAGCATTCACAGTGTTTTGCTGCATGGTATAGTCACTGTCCTGGTTTGAAAGTGGTCAGTCCATATTCCGCTGAGATGCTAGAGGGTTATTAAAATCTGCTATTAGAGATCCAATCCAGGTAAACTACATACATTTTCATTGCTCTATCACAGCACTTGCAACTGCAGCAGTCAATGTAGCTTCCCTATGTCTTGAGGGAGCCAGTCAAGCAGCTTGCACCATAAATAATATAAAGATATTTGATATTGTGGATGCAGAAACAGAGCTCCTGAAGTGTGACTATTAATTGGCATGGAACAACCAGTTGAATCATACTCATTAATTCCAAAAACATTAAATCTCTTTTGGCCACTATTTGGTGTAACTATATATATACATGTATATATATATATAGCAAGCACTACATCATTCCTTTCAATGTACATGTAGAATGTAAGAATAATTCCAATATTCATACATTTTATGTGCTTAAATATGTCTGTAATCTTGCAAAGTTGATTGTTTTATGTCAATGTGCATTTAGTTGTGCAAAATTTTAGTTGAAACCTTTTTGATAATGGACATGCTTACATTACCTTTCCCAACAGTGGTTGTTCTTGAAAATGAGCTTATGTACGGTCATTCTTTCGAAGTGTCTGATGGGATTTTGTCACCGGACTTCTTGATTCCTATTGGTAAAGCCAAGGTGGAAAGAGAAGGTAGCAACATTACATTGGTTTCACATAGTAAACATGTCGGAATATGTTTAGATGTAGCCAAAGAATTGAATGAAGATGGCATTTCCTGTGAGGTAAGTGTATAATTTTATCACAAATTATATGTGTATTTAATCACTCTCTGAATGATTTACCATTAAATACATATCCCATGGGTCATCCTACATCATTAGATTTATTAAACGATTTCAGTCATACTTACCGTACCAATATCCAATGTTGAACATAGGGTAAAACTTAATTTAATTGGCTAACTGTAGTTCGAATAATTATAGTTCCCTCAATACAATCGGTCATCTGGGGGCCTAGCACTCCCTAATTTCAGTTAACTCTCACAATAAAATAGGGCCATCTAAAAAAGCATTGGGGGGGGGGGGGGTTGCATGAAATAATTGTCTCATTTGCATAAATTAGTATTCATGAGCAATGAAAAACTCATCTTTTCAGTAATATTGTGTCAAAATGCTTTCTGATAGCATACATGATAGTTATAAATTGACTGATTTTATCGTTATCTCATATCTCTGACTTGCTTTGACTGGTTATGTTCAAATTTCAAATATTCATTATACATCATGTCATAGATATACAGATATTTTAGTTTGACGATCCTATTAAAAATGGTCGAATGGTTGCCTTTTTTGTGCTAAAAAATCATCAAATATCAAGCATTTCTAGTATTTATGGATGGATTTCGTTCAAACTTATAACATATATTAGACATTACGAGTTCCTGATGCACATCATTATATTTTTCAGATTCAAAATGGATGACTGGTGCCCATTTTGTTTTAATGGATGGGCTTCTAGAGCTATTATATCTCTCACATGCTTTGACTGATTATGTTCAAATTTTATATATTCATTATACATCATGTTATAGATATATACATATATTTAAAATGGCTGATTTTGTTTTAATTAATGCTGCTCCAGAGCAATATCTCTCAATGTGGACAATGTTTTGACGATACTTGTTTGACGATCAGATACAAATGTCGATCATTTTAATGTTAGACAATCATCATAATCATATTCCTGACATGTTTATATTCCAGCTATATTACTATAAAACAAAACTATATATCTTAAATTCGATACTAATGGGGACTGTGCCATGCATGGCTTGTTCACTAGTACTATTGCTCAAAATGTTTTCAGTGACTTTTGTCAGTGACAAGTTACCTAATTAAAATGCATTTTGAGAAACCACAGTGTGCCTGTATGTGCAGTTTGAAATCGAACAATTTTAAGCGCAATAAAATCACACGTAAAACTCAGGCTCCAGCAAGATATTGTGGCATCAAACTGGCTGCATTTTTCTATGAAATTTTTCTTAGTTTTGTTGAGGATTATTCTGTAAAGAAATTGCTGAAATTATACCATATGTTCATAAAAGGGACGTTGTTGCTTTGACGATGGGCTATGGACGACTGACTTCGAAACGTTCCATTCAGATTGGATGCCGCCCTCTTTGTGCCAATCCCCCCTGCAAAAAAGGCTGACTTATACAAAACTCTGGCAGTAACCACTCATGTCTCCTGACATGAACCCAAATAAAATTATAGTTAAATAAGTATAAAAATATCTCCACACTATGTAATAAAACATCCCATCGATCTGATTGGTCCGTGCAAGCAGATTGAACTCTTATTTTGGAAAACAAGTGGCTTTATTAATTTGAATAGTTCTAGTAGTTTTAGATGTCAGCTTATATACCTCATATCAAATTCTCCCAACTTCAACTCTTTATGCGCATAAATTTGTTTTGTCTTGTGGCGATTCATCCTCCATTCCAAACCAGCCATGGTTTGATTGCATTTCAAAATTAGTAATTTTGTTAATGCAAACCTCTAAATCGTGAATATAATGATTACCCCGGTACTTCAAAAAAAGTCTTAATTTTTTAATCACAATGGGATAAACTAAAGCCAGTGTGCTCCATGATCTTGAACATATGCTCACAAACTACGATCTCGGTGTTAGTTTTTAACCTGCTGAAGCTGCATAATGGATGCATGGGATAAACAGGATATCAAATTAGTGACCGTATAATATCAGATTTATTAAACTCATCAACGGTTCAGAACAATTATTGAAATTATTATGAAAATTACTTATTTAAGGTAGAGATG